CATTCCTAATTATAAATATTTTTAAAATCAAACTTAACATTTTCATATGCTTAACATGATCTTATATGTTATTTTCACTTAATTCTTTATATATTTGTTTTTAATGAAATTAGGATTATTAATGTATATACCTTGTATGATGTATTACATAGTGTATGATGTATAATGGATAATTCAATCACTTTTTATTTTATCTTTGTTTTTATCTTTTATATCAATTGATATATTAAATTTATCAAGGGTATTTTCTGAAATTAATTTAGTTTTCAAATGTTTTTCATAGAAAAAAAAAGTGAAACTCATACTTTTCATCTTAGTTCTATATTACTATTGGTGAATATAGTGAAAAATATGTATGAGATTAATCTCTCCTTATGTTGAATATACAGAACCTATCTATAATAGAAGAAATATGAGCTAAGCCCAAAATACAAATAAAAAATAATAACAAACAAACTAAAGATAAATATAAAATAAAGATGATATATCTAACACTCTCCCTGAAGCTAGTGCAAATCGTATGTACTAAACTTGTTACTGATATCATCCACAAAGACTTAGTGAAAATATTTGTTTTTGCACTCGAGTGACACCAAATTGCTAATGATTTGCAAGACGACATAAAAGATGAAATATCAACTCAAAAGACTCTCCTGAGCAACAAATATGGAAAGTTGCTCCATGTAGATCTCTTATTGCAAATCGTCGTTGAGGAATGACATTAATGGGTAAAGATGTAATTGTTGGAGAGCAACCACGACTATAAATAAACTAACAAAAATCATATTTTCCATGGGAAAAGAGCATATATGAATGGATCAAACACAATGGTGAGAAAAAGAAAGGTCAGAAGAGACAACATCGAAAGAAGTCATGGATGATTATGAGATAGTAATCTTAAAAGATCCAAGATTATCCAATCAAGCACCTGAAAAAAGGAAAAAGAGCACCTCGATACTTTAAATAACTGTATGGAGAAGATGAGACATGTGACAACACACGATGAACCTGAAAGAGGAAAAGAACGACGTCGACATTCTGAATCATTACTAGACATGCCACCATGCACGATGAAAAAGAAAGCAAATTCATAACATCAAAAGGCTCTGAGAGCTAGCGCATATGAGCTCCAATGAAGAAGACTTGAATGACATGGTGGTTACCTGACTGAGACGATCAAAACCATGTGATAATTGGTCGAAACTTGAACTCCGATAGTGGTAGCGGTAAACAATAGCAGTAGACGACGACATCCATGGCAGTAGTAGATGGCCCCACCACCGCCAGTGACAGATACAGTGACAGAGACAACAGGAAATTTTTCTTCAAAAGAACATGGCTCTAAATACCATGTTAAAAAATGAATTTTAAACCTAACTAAACTCCCGACTTTTTCATTCTAATTTCAACCTATTTACATTTAGTTTATTCAATTTAATACTAATATATTTTTTTCATTTTGATCTTAATTTCTTATTATTATTTTTTAATATAATTTAAATAATTACGTGTGTTAATTCGTGATTAAGATGTGAAGTAAATGTTTTATAGTTAATTTAATTTCTATATTTTTATTTTATTTACTTTTGTTTTTTTAAATAGAATGAAATTTTTGAAAATAAAAACTAATATTATTTTTTAAAATTTTAAGAGGTTAAAAATTTATATTAATATTTCCATTTTTTTAAGTTAAAATATAAGGATGCTACGTGGTTTGAGGCGGTAAAATATGTATGAACAACAAATTAGTATTATTATTACTATTATGTTACATGTTTGTTTATAATTTTTATATAATGATATTTGATAGAACTAACTTTTATTTAATAAAACCTAATAAAGATTTGCTATTTGTTCACACGTTAATTTTAATTAAAACTATAAAATATTCAAATTTAAACTGATACATAAATAAATGTTAAGTTATAAATTTGTGGGAACTAATTTTCATTTCTTAGATTATTTTTTAGTCTTTCCTTGTATATAGATCAATCAAATAAGTGTCAAAACAGTAGATTTTACACATTTCATAAGCTTATTTTTTCATTATTTATGGGTCATAATGGTTATTAACCAGTATTAAGAATTGTCAAGCTAAAGAACACTCCTCGGTACCACATGCCCCAAAGTCAAAGACACCTTAACATCACCCCAAGCTTAACTTTAGAACACAATTTTTATCTGAAAGAACAAAAAATCATGAAACTGTTCTATACGAAACGAGATCTCCAAAATTTAGTAATAAGAAATTTTGACGAATAAAAAATATTTTGCTCAAAAGAGTGTCTTACTAAGATTGCTCTTATCAACTATCGTTACACTGACTTGCACTTCCAAACATTCTGTGACACCCTATTGCAGAACACATACTAGGTGAGAGTGTAGCTTTCAAGGTTGTTTTCCAGCTAAATCTTCCAACGTAAGATTCAGTGTGTCAGCTGAACCTCTTTTCACTTCTTCTCCACGAGAAGCCAAGAAGTCTTCAACGCTTCCTGGTTCACCAAACCACCCAAGGTGATCTGCAATCAGGTGAAGATTATTACACCCCCCACATCTTGCCACCACTACACCTTTCTCGTATGACTCACGACAAACTGTCTTAATGGATCTCGTTTCACACACCTTGCAGGTGAAAATCATGGCGAGATCATGCCTTGAAGATGTCTTCAAACTTGACTTGGCAGAAAACTGTACAGAGGCATCATTAACACTAATGGATGTAGCAACATTATCAGGGTTTGGACTTAGTTTTAAGGTGTCAGTTTCACTATTTTCTACATCTTCACAAACAGGTTTGATTGGATTTGTAGTTGTAGCGACCCCCCTTTGATGGAATCCAAATCTGTTTAATATTGCACCAGTAGGATAATACCAAGAAGATTCTGCCAGTAAACAACATTCACATTAATACCAAAAACTTTCTTTTCACAGACAAGGGAATGCACAAAGAGAAAGTGAGAGAGAAATAGAAAGAAGCTCTTCATCTTTTATATAGCATAAACTTATGCTATTAACTGAATGATTAAAGAATGACTTTAACTACAAATATTAAGCATAAACATACTGATATTCTGCCACAGAGAGGGAGACACCAGATAAAGATTAATCAGAGTAAGTCCAAATCAAAATTAACAACATCCACTTTTTCCTGTTATTCAGAAAACACTGTTTTGCATTATAGAAGATGCATGAGATAAAATCTATTTATATATAGCATAAACCTTCATTGCGTATTCAATTCCTTTGAACTACATCAAAGAAGTGGAAAGCTAATTCGGATCGTGTATTAATTCAAAAATAAATAGATAACCTATATAAAAGAATATTTACAGGTAATTACACTAATCTATTTGTTATTCAACATCTGGCGCTTCAATTTCCATATTAACACTTATTGTTAAAAAGAATTGCCCAACGATGTATCTTAGGATTAAGTAAAAACTTGTGATGCTGTAAATGTCTTTTATTGCTTATGAGACATTTTCCTGACCCTCCTAATTCCTTAATTAATGCTAAAAGACTTTTATTAAGATTCGTGTAAAACTAAAACTAAATGAAAAAGATATTTCAATGACCCAAAAGTGTTAAGTTATGACAAAGAAAGACAGAACCATCAAGGTATCAAACCAAAGCAGTCAAGAATCCCTCAAAACAACTAAAGAGTCTGGTCGGTTCAGTTAGTTGCATAACGTGTGCGAATTGTCATAAACTCTAGGTATCCATGTTCAGTTCCGACAAAGAAATAAATAAACAAATCCCTGAAAACATAATTGGCAACGAATTTCAGAACCAGTCATAAGAAGCTCTACGGATAAAATAATTCCCAAAAGAAATTAACAAAGTAAACATAGAATAAACTAAAAAATTCAAATTTGAGAAGTTTGGAAAGTCCATCCTAAAGACAATTCAGCAAACCAGAAACAAGTAACTGTTACAATTTTCAGTCTATTAAATTTAGTTATCAAAACTTCAAAACCAGGACTTAACATTGAAAAAAAGGGTTAAATTGAAGAAGAAAAAAGGGGTGGAAGATGCTTAGTATTGAGTTGAGAGGATCTAAAAGAACGCAAAGAGAGAGAGAGACACAGAACTGTGGAGAGAAATCGGAAAATAAAGGTGGGGACATGCCTTGAATAATGGGGTGATAGGTTTGTCTCGGGAAGATTGAGATGAATCGCCTCTGCAACATCCTTGCCGCCATAGCTCCCAAGGCCATGGGTAATGCCCAAACCTGTTACTTTCTGAGATTTTGGGCTCTTCTTATTTTCTATGAATTTTGGGCTGTCTTTTCTTATAGGCCTTTACTGTTACACTCCCCCACTTGTTGAATCCACTCCCCCTCTCATCTTTTGTGCTTCAAATTACCTGTACTAGCTTTGATTTTCTTTCTTTTTTCTCAAACTGTCGTTATCGTAAACTCCACGTGTGAAAACTCCTATTTCTTTTTAGTTTTCACATTTGTTCCTCATTCACGTTTATCTTCCTTTTCTTCTTTTTTTTCTCTCCTTCAACAGCCTTAACCTTATCAATATTAAAGTTGTAGTAATCAATATTAAAAAATGCTTTTTCCATTTTTCGGAAAGTAGTAGAATCGTAAGTGCTTATGGTGTTCAAATGTCAATACCTTGAATTTTTTATGAGAAACTTTTGATTAATAATTGCTTTTACTCTATTCATATCTTGAAATGTTGGATATTTTTAATCAACCAATTGATTATTAAGTTGCCTATTATTACCTTTTCCAATTACTGAGTAAAATATATATGAGAATCATGAGATGATTACTACAAGCAAGCACTACAAAAAATGATAAGGTACCAACATGACTTATTATCCTAGAACAACCCAATGCTATGAATAATGATGACTGAAAAATATCAAAATCCGAATAATAACGGGTAACTCTGATATTCACTGAACTTGATGACGGTATCCTCAGATAACATTGGGAACCACATAAAAAGAATGCGGTCAAACATTTCCAAATTCTACAAAACACAAAACAAAGTATATTTCCATTCATACCCAGAATTTGTTGAGTTATTCAAACAAACAATCAAAAGTACCTTCTTCAAATATCACCAACGTTCTACACAATCCGTGATCGTATACAAGTGTGAATTATATACATCAATCTCTTTCTTATTTACAATGAAATTTTGTGGAGTGAAAAATAATGGAAATAAAATGAAAAGAAAAATCCCACAGACCCAAAAAACTGTCACCGTGGGGCCAACGAGACCGTCAAGTCAATATCGGTTCCCATTTTCTGATCCCAGTCCTTCGACTCCAGGTACAACTTTGACACCTCAATCGAGACCCGACCCATGTCCGGTCTCTCATTCGGGTCATTCCCGACACAGTCTAATCCGACCCGAACCATCCTCTCCGCCACACTCAACGGAAAAGAATCCCTCAGCCTCCTATCCACCCACTTCCTTACACCGCCGTATTCCCCCGCCGCAACTCTCGCCGTATCCACCACGCTCGTCCTCTGATAACTGCCGTCGTCGTTGAATTTGAATTTCACCGCCTCTTCCCCGCTCAGCAGCTCCAAAACCACCACGCCGAACGCGTACACGTCGCTCTTCTTCGTCGCTACGCCGCTGACCTGAAATTCCGGCGCCATGTACCCTCTTGTCCCATCGATCCTCACCCTCCGCGCACCGGATTCCTCACCAGTTCCGGCGACCGCCTCGCCGCACAGATGCGACGAGCCGAAGTGGCATATTTTCGCGCGCAAATTATCCTCCGTGATAACAATGCTGGAACTCTTGATGTGATTATGAATGAAACCAGAACCGGATCCCGAACCGGAGTCTGAACCGGAGAAATTATGGATGTAATCGAGGCCATGCGCGATGTCGGAGGCGATCTGCATCCTAGAGGTCCACGTGACGAGATCGGTGTAGCTAGGGTTTCGGCGGTTACGGAGGCAGTCGGCGAGGCTGGCGCCGGGGACAAATTCGTAAACGAGAAAGATGACACCGCCGGAGACGGAGGCGCCGAGGAGCTTGACGAGGCTGCTGTGGTGACTCCGGCAGATGATGGCGAGGCGGTGGCTGAGCTCCGGGAGGTCGATTTGTTGGCGGAAATTGCGGCGAGAGACAACAACATCGCGGTGGCGGATTAAGCAGCGCCAGGAGGAGGAAGAGAGGCGTGGGGCGGAGAAGTTGGCGGTGGCAGCGGAAATCTCTGAAAAGTGGTAGATGTTAGGGCTTTCAGGGAGCGTGTCTTTGAGGCTTGAGAGAGAGGCGCGGCTTGAGATAGAAGAGGTTTTTGACCACTCTAATAAGTCGTTGGTGTTGGTGTTGTTGTTTTCGAACACGTAGCTTCTTGATTCTGTGACGGGGACTTCGCTCGTGGAGGTATCGTAGTTGGACGATGACGATGTCAGGGTTTGCGTCCGGTGAGGACGAGGGGAATTGGTCATGCTTCTATTTGAGTTTGTGCTTCGTCTGCTTTCGGGTTGTGCCGCAGCGGTGCTCTTTCTGGATTTGCACATCGAAGGGAGATTGTGCCGGTGGCTAATGTGCGCCGGAGAACAACCTCATTGCATGGCTTAGCTCTGTTGTTTGGTTCTGTGATCGTGGGCGTGAGAATGACGTACACGCAGTTTAGAAGGTTAGTGTTCTGTTCCAATTCCAACACTTCTGTCTGTTTCGTAGGATGTTGTGTTCGTGATTGGGCGGCGCCTTTATTTTGCTGATGTTCTGGTGAGGTGTACATTCGGTTCAAATATGCCTCACACGTGGCTGCTACTCCCATTTTCCCCTTCAGTTCATAACTTCATTTCCACCATCATATTTTTACCTCAACAACCATTTTTTCCACTCATTTTATATTATTATCTTATTTTTTTTCATTCTCTTTTTTCTTTTAAAATATAAAAATGATGTATTAGAATATCATTTCTAAAACCCTCGATGATTTAACAAATAAACTTTTATATTTTGTAAAAAATATGAAAAATAAAACAATGAATATAAGATAACTGTACAAATTTATTAAACGACAAAATATAATCTTGTCTTATTTTATCTCAACACAGCAACCAAAAACATTACGAGAGTCAAACTCTGACCTTAGTGTTATAGCTTCGCCCTATCATTCCCAAATTTAGAACTATGGATTTAAAGGAGTGAATTAATACATCTGTAGGGATGGATAGACTTATCTACCAATATCATTAGGCAAGTGACTCTGCTAAAAAACTCTGACTTTTAATTTCAAATATTTTAAATTTTAATTTTGTGAATTTTGAAATATTTCGTTACAAATACAAATAACATGATATTTTTAGTTTAATAAAATTTAGCAATAGAATGAAAACTGAACTTATTATAATTTGAGTGTTCGGGATAATGAATTTGAGTTTTTTAAGACAAGTATAACGATTATGATATATCTGGATCTCGAAATTGGACTCCAAAATATGATATCGTGGATAATAAATTTAAGACAACGAATTGAATACTGATCTTCAAAAAAAATATTTTACGAACTCAATTTATTTAACCCAATTAAAATATGTGTTTCTAATAAAACTTTAAACACATTAAAGGAACCTGTTAACTCATACTTAAATTCGTTAAATATTTAGATTTGATTTGTAAATTATTTATTTGATCCCTTTGTTAAGTTAAATAAATAAAATTTCAACTTTTGTTTAAGTTCGATTATGAAATGAGTTTTTCTCAAACTTTAAAAACTTAACATTAAAAACCAATTAATGGCTTGTTTATACATACATATATAGATATAAAAGTTTACAATAAAAAATATTATACTTATGTTTTATTGAGATGTTATACTACAATTTTAAAGTTTAGGTTCCATTAGCTAATATTGAATTACATTTTTAACAGACTAACTTCTATTTTAATATACGAATTGTTTATTTATGCATGATTTTTCTTTGTAGTATTAAAATAATTGTAAATATTGTATTGATAAAATTAAGCAATAAATATTTTTTTCACGAAAACAAAATTAATTAAGTTATAAATGCATTAAACAAATCAAATTAAAATTAAATATTTTTCTGAAAAAGCTAAATTCAAACTTTTAGTACGATTTATTTCATTTACACCTTTAATCAGAGTCATGTGAGAAGAAAAATAATAATTTCTTCTGTAAGCAAGTGAGTTTTTTTTTATTACACATGATATATTTTTACAAAAAAGTGTTATAATAAGACTATTATGAATCTTAAAGCCTTTTCTGAATATTTGTTTTCAATATGAATAAAGATTCATCCTAGATATTGATTATTAAGTGAAAACAAACTTTGTACTAATTCTTGATTAAAAAATATATTTGTTTAGGTTTCCTTGAAACAAAATAAAGTTTTGTGGTGATAATACGTTTTACTGTAATAAAATTTTGGGTAGTGTTTGTTTCCGCGAACGTACTGTGCACGAGCGGGTGAGAGCTAGTATTGGATGTGTTCTCTAATATCATATATTAGAGAACTGTTGGCAATCTAATTTAATAAAACAAAATTACGATCCAAACCAAGCATTGAAATAATAAACCTAAACTGGTTCATATGTTACCTACGATTCAACTAAACCATTATCCGTTTTGAGCCAATGAAAAATGTGTCTTAAGAAAAAAGTGGCTGGTTCTCGCTCAGTTTCGAGTCATTCAAAATTAACGAACAAGCTTTTTGATTCTTGTATCTTGTACGCATGGAATCACTCTACCAGCACAAAACCAACCAAAACCTAAAATAAATTTTTTAATACATTTAAAATAAATCCCAAACTAAAAAACTGGTTGTCTAAAAAACCTATTTCCACCGGAACCAAGCTACTTTAAGAAGAGAAAAGTTTTTATTGCAAAATTCAATATTAATTAGATAATTATCCTCCGTCAATATTGTAAGAAGAATTCACATTAATATTCATAATTTAAATACAAAAATTATTGCGAAAACCAATTCAAATTAGGATTAAATAATCTGTTATGAGTAACGTAGCAAAAGTAAATTTGGTGTACTAGTTAAAGTTTATTTTGTTAAATAAAAGTCCTTTTGAGGAATTTGAAACGTGTTTCACTTTAACACACAATTCCAAAGTTGCATATTGCTACATCTACACAGCCAGAAAAATCAATTGGGAATTTTCCATTTATCAATTAAAGGTTGAATATGATAAAATGGCAAAAGCAATTCATCTACTCAAGAACCAATATGCCAACTTATTTTTTTAAAAATTGTGATAAAAGGACAAAAAAGAATTCAAGATTTCTAGCCAAGCATTTTACATATATGCTACTGGAGAAAAAATAACTAATACAAAGCTACCATTAAAGAACTAAAGAATGCTGAAAGATAACCATCCATGTTCTTCATTGATGATCATGAATAAAGAGGAATGCATATAATCTAAAGCATGGCAATAACTAAATAATCAAGCTTACTACAAGTGTCATGATCTCATTTTAAAAATTTAAAATTAATACTAAACAATATTATAATATTTTACCTACATCCAATAAAATCCCTTAACCACTTAATTTTCTTTCTTTTGGGCCGGCCATCGTAGCATATACCTATGAGAGTTTATACACGAATAAGTATTAAGGATAAAATTTAAAAGAAAAATTAAAAATCAAACTACCTAGAAAAAACAGCAGGAAATGGTAGATAACCAGTAAGAATATGCAGTGTCAACTTAATGTTTTACCACTGAATTTACTAGCCAGGAGGAAAGTACATAAAATCTTTGAGAGCACAAATCTTGGTTCTTACTCTCAGTTTTCTTGTCCCCATTAATAACAAATGATGTTAATCCAAAGTAATATACAGCCCTAATGAACAACTACATATCCAGAAAGATCAAGGACCTATGAACTCCTTCAAAAGAACCTTAAGTACAGGAATCAACAAAAGTAAGCTATCAGAGGCATGACCAACCAACATGATGCAGCTTCCTTAAGGAGGGTTTTCCCTCCTTTAGAGGCTGCTGCTAGACCTGAATTCTAGTTATAGAAAAAGATCAAAACTCTCTGGAGTTACCAACTCTAACTGCCTTCAAATGAATTGGATATTGAGCACCTACAGAACAACCATTCTATCCTAACTTTACAGCTAACCAGAATGCTTATGTATGGTCAGACACGACTCCATGCCTCATTTCTTACCAATCTAACTGCAAATATGCACACGTTTGCGACAACAAAAAGTTCACATGAATATATATCAAGCAGGAGGTTTCACATGGTGTCCCGTTTTCCGTCTGTGTCTGCTAAAATCAGATACAAACCTGAATGAAAGGCCGCATCCCTCCACCTTGCAGTGATAAGGCTTCTCCCCAGTATGTACGCGTATGTGCTCTGTCCTTGCCCAAGCCCACTTGAACGACATGGAACAACCTTTCCATGGACACTTAAGGGGCCTCTCATCATCATGAACTCGCTGGTGAAGCAAAGCATATTTGTGGGAACTGAACTTCTTACCACACCCTTCATGTGGGCAAAGGTTTCGTTTATGCAACAGTAACTCTGCCTTAGTCTTGAAACTCATTCGGCAACCATCGAGGTCGCACTTGTGGGACTTTTTAACACCATCTTTTTTATTTTTGCGAAGAACCAAAACTTCAGAAGATCTCCTTGCCCGTTTAGCCACCTGATTTTCCTTGTCAACTTGGTTGATTTCCACTCCACTTTTTCCAGCGGCAAACTTCCCAGCTCTTGGCCTCAGCCCCTCACATGGACTTCTAATAAAGTTGTCAGAATTAGATCGGTTCCCTGTTCGTTCCACTTTCCTCTTTTTTTTATTCTCAGAATTTAATCTGGGAACTTCTGTAGCTAACTCACAACTCTCCAGCCCCCTTTTATATTGTGACAAATCAGCTTTGATTTCATTTATGTTTTCTGTAACATAAATCTCGTTCTCAATTTTTGAGCATTCCTGCACTGATAGGAAAGAGTCTTTTGTCGATGTATCCGATCCAGAGAAAAGTTCCTCATCAATTCTATTAACTGACTGGTTTGTCATTTCTTTTTCTTTATCTGGAATAAATTGCATACAGGAATCTTTGCTAGGACATGCTTCCACTGAAACTTCAGAACATCCTAACTCTATTGAAGTTACGCTTTTATTTTCACCTTTTGCAGCATAACTGCAAACAGGGTCCTCATTAATTTTTTTTACACTTTCAATCTGACACTGCCCAGACGAAGGACAACATTGTTCAGTTGAAACATGAGTTATTTCCCTTTTGCTATTTTTTCCACCCTGAGTTACTTGTTGCTCATCATCCAAGATTCCGTTACATTGCAAGTCTACAGAAGCATAAAGCTCTCTTCGAACTTCACAAACTTCATTTGGAGTATGTTTGCTAATTGGGCTTTCATTAATTCGAGGTTCCTTGTCCATTTCGCTTATAGAATCAATTCCTTCCTCATTTGCCTTTTCTAGGAAAATAGGACTACTAATTCTTTCTGAGATATGATTATTATTTGGACTTTCAACGTTTCCATCCAAAGAAGCAAGTGTAGATTGATTTACCATTGAAGCAGTTGATACAGCAGCTTCCTCATTGTTGCTTTTGTAGTTAGACTGATATTCTTGATGCCCTTGATCATCCAATGTTAACCTATTACAGTGGCTATCAATGATAACTGCTTCTGCAATTTCAGTCTTTTTAATCATTTCAATATTTCCATCTGGTGCATTTGAAAGTGTGCTAGAACATTTCTTGTACTGACAATCCTGGCTCTCCTTGCCACATATTTCTGAGACATTGGTATTGTGGTGCATCTTAGAATGACTGA